ATGATTAGGGCAACCCCTCACATTCAAGGGTCGCAGATAGGAGGCCAAGCGGACCAGGATATCAGATCATAAGCTTTTGCGGACGACACACGCGCCAGTGTCGTACCACCTTTCATGAACAGGGGTCTTGGTGACCGGAGGGCCGCGGAGGCCGATCACGGGTCATGATTTTCGTGTCTGGACACGGCCATCACAGGGAGCGGGGAGCATGTTTTTGTTTTGGGGTAACTACGTGGCGGTCATTATAACATTTTGAAAATGTAGTCAAAACACGGTTTCTGCAGTCCAGTCAAGCCCGACGTTCGAACTGCCCTTGAAACTTGGCATTGCAGAAAAGTCTGTGCAGCGAGTTTCAAACTGCAGTTTAGTTTTCCACGTGGCACGTGGCCCAGGGTCTGCTCCTGGCCCGTGTTCTGGTGTTCAAAAACGCAGAAAGGTGGCCTGCGGTCCGGCCTGCGGTCCAGCGTCGAACAGGTAAGCCCGTAGCCTTTCTATTTCCTAAGCAGCGGCCATCTCCCCCTTTTCGTCCCCCACCTGCCCTCTTCTTTCTCTCTCTCTCTCTCTCTCTCTCTCTCTCTCTCTCTCTCTCTCTCTCTATCTCTCCTGCATTTTCAAACTGTTTTTGTGACCCCCGCGTAGTTACCCCTTTCGTTTTTTTTTTGGCTGGTGATGTTTTTTTTTGCTGCTGTTCCAGATCTGTTCTTGGCCAGAAAGGTGGCAGAGTTGGCTTGGTTTGGAATTCTGATTGGCTGGGCAAAATCCCCGACCGCGGAGGCCTGGAAACTCCGCTCAATAGTAGAGGACAGTCCAGGACCAGGTGCGCCCTCCCAGTTCAGGTTGCGAAGCATCAAGGACCCACTGGCCAGGCTGCAGAACATCGAGCGCACACCCGGCGAGGTTGTGATACTCTTACCACAGCGTCCGGGGGCAGATGCCCTTACTGTAGCTATTGGGCTGCCCCCACGAGGTGACAAAACTCCCATTTTCTGTCTGACTTCTGCCTGATTCTTATACAGATGCAAGTGCTGAATCCTGAGTCCACTACTGCTAGAGCCTATCGACCTGGCTTACGTCATACTAGGAGGTTGAAATCCCCCGAAGAAAAAAAAAAAGAAATCCCCCGAAGTTGCTCGGGGCTGGGGGTGCGGTAAGTCAAGAGTTCTACCGGTAGCCGGTTCTGGGCAGTCCCTTGCTGGTGTGAAGCGCCGAAAGAGGGACTGTTAGAGTTAGGGCCGACCCAGGTAAGTCTAGGACCAAGACTTGCCAGACCACAGCCGCCCCTGGACCGTCGCCAATGTTTGAGGTGAAAGACGGGCGTTTTGCTAACATTTGGTGTCATCTGGACGGCGCTTGATAAGAACACGACTGATTGACAAATGACTGTACGGTATTTCCCTGAGTACTAGCACACACGGTCATTATAGTCGTATCCAAAACAAATTGGACAATATACCTCGTATTCGGGGGAAGGTGGGCAGGAGCACCAGGTCGGGGTTAGTCAAACAGATCAACGTCTCCTACAGAAGAAAATAAAAAACACTATGGAGCAAGATACAGTCTGCAATTGCTCTTCAGGCACCCTACCTGGCCAGAAAGCTGGGTTGTATGCATTGCCCGAACTGTAATTCGAAACTATATCTTGGCCCATAGTGCGCTTATAACTCATTTTTGTGACTCGCACGTAGTTTCCCCAGAAAAGAAACAACAAAAGGCCTGAATCAACTCGATCCAGTACATCCCAGTTGGTTACCTCCCAAACAGACGCACCTCGGCGAACATAAATATCGAGATCGCTCGCAACTTGGCCGTGTCGGATGACTCAGATCCGAATCCAGCTCCGGACGAAGGCACGAGTGCATGGGGGTGTTCCGGCAAGTCGAGTCAGCAGTTCTCTTCTTCACAAGTCGTGGATGATTACTGTTGGACTGCGTGTGGTCCACATTCCATATCAGCACTACAAGGCCGCTACCTCTGGTTGTCTCTCTTGCCATCAGCGCCATTCAGTCACTATGGATCACTTGGCTTGCCCCTGCGTAGCTGCAGCGTCAGCAAGGCATTTATTGGCCACTATGTCTGCTGTTGACGGCTTTCGTCTGCAGTGCCATTCTCTGTCTGTGGCCCGTCAAACGAGCGGCACCCGAAGTATTCGTCTGAACCTGTCGACGACTTTCGTCGACGGCAGCGGGACGCTGCATATGAGACAATCAAATCTGAGCGGAGGAAGGCGTCTTCCAATGCCCGCTGGCGGCAATGGACCTAGCCGTGATCGAACTATTGCGGTCTCAGCGAGCGTCGAAACGCCGGGCATGTCGGGAGGTCAGAAACATCATGGGGTCTCCACTCATTCCACCGCCGAAAGTTCAAACAGGGTCATGGTAAAGACCGGAGCCATGGACGGCCTATCGTTCTTGGCCCCGGACATGGGGAAGATATCATTGGTGTTCGTAGGGGCGGATTGGGCGACGTTATGGGCTCTCTTTAAGCCACGCTCGCTGTAAGTTTCCTCGCGTGTTTTCGATTGCATGTGTCATCTCTCTCTCTCTCTCTCTCTCTCTCTCTCTCTCTCTCTCTCTCTCTCTCTCTCTCTCTCTCTCTCTCTCTCTCTGTGTGTGTGTGTGTGTGTGTGTGTGTGTGTGTGTGTGTGTG